TATATATACACACACACACACAATCACACACATATGAATTCAATAAGCTCGAACCATAAAAATTCTAGAGCCATTGATTGTTAACATATTCACTGCATTGGACATTTCAATTTATAACTGATATATTACAGAGGGAATTTGTTTTCCTTATAGTTTAAAAATATATTGCTAAGATTCCTTCTTGTTGATTATATTGCTAAACACTATGTACTGTGCATGCTTGAACCCATGAGCGTCATCCTACTTGATAGCAGACCTCTCTCTAATTCTTCGCTCAAACCAGATTTGTGGTTTAAGAAGAGCACTGTCCTTTGGTAACTGGGACAAATGTAGGCTTCCACGTTTCCCAGAGACAACATGATACATCTCATCTATGTCCTCAATACCCTTTCCTTTTTCTTTTGTCTTTCTCTTGCCTTATCCACACTTCTATTGCCTTATTTCTGAAAGGTCTTGGAGTTAGTTAACTGTTGTAAATTCTCCCCAGGGAGTTGAAGGCTTAATCAGGCTGGTAGCATGCTGGAGCCAGCTTGTACCAGTTTGAGAATTGATTATTAAATATCCAGGAATTTAGGAAGTAAACTCTTAACCTTGAAAACAGCCATGGAGGAGGTATTTACACCATGGAAATTGGCAAACATTATAAATTGCCCTGCCCCCACCCCCAGGGAGCTGGTTTATCAGCTTACCAATGGTTATCACGCTCTTCAGGAATCCTGCATTTCATTAGGTCCTCCCAAAAACCTTATTCAAAATCTAGATTCAAAGAGAAATTCTATGGCTGGGATTTTTCCAACAGGAATAAACCATGGAAAAATCCTCCGAGGCACTGCCCTAATGGTGCTGCATAGACACACAGCTAGAAGCATCTTCTGAAAACCAGCTCTACTGACACATTGCTAAGAGACATGGTGGGAAATTATAACTTTTTTTTTTTTCAGTAAGCATTGCCCTTCTAGGTCAAGGAAGATTCTGAAAGACATATGCACACAGAACAGCCCTACAAAATACGTATTGTCCTATAAAAATGACAAATTGAATCAGACTGGTATTTTTAGAGTTTCTGATGAAAGCAAAGGATGACGTACAAGCGTGGACTCTGTTCCTTAAAAAGAACAAAGAATTGCAAACCTCCACAGAGGATCTAGAGATAACAGCCTGTACAGTGAAAAACGAATTTCACTAATACAGAACCAATGAAATAATCCAGCAGTTTCCAAAACTGAAAGTTGGCCTTAACATCTTACCAAGGCCTTAAAAAAATCATAACTGTTGGATTAGTGGTTACAGAAAAGACCAGGCTTAGTTACCTAAGTACAGCAAGCAATGTTGGCTCATATTCCTAGAATATTTTCTTTGAAACGGGGAGAGGATAAGTGGTGCTTAATACTAACTAGGTATCTTTTCTATGTGTTTTTTCATACCTCTCACTATTTTTCATACCTCTCAAATATTCACTGTGTCTTGTACCAAGCACTGTCTTAACTATAAAAGGTGAATAGGTTCCCATTCCACATGGTGTTTCAGAGGGCTCTACCAATTTTTAAAGTATTTATATAGTTAATGAAGTACTATTCAAAGGCCTCAACAAGATTCTACCTGTAATATATAAAAGATTTAGTTTCTGATTAGTTTACTACAATTAGAAAACAGCATTTGAAAGCTTGAACCTTTTGGCCTTTTTGGTCCCACAAGAATAGTCACCAGGAGTATTTTAGATGAGATGGTTTGATTTCTGAAGAAAACTGTGGTGTAGTTTTAATATCCGTGTTGGGAGAAATCCAAATAAAATAAAAATACACAAAACTCAATAAAAATATACAAAAAGTATGCTTCATAGAGAACACTAGGAAGCATAGTCAGAAGAATTTTGGCTATAATTAACCCAGTTTTCTGAAAATCTAGAGTCTAAAAGTAATAAAAATGGACTCTTAATCATGGGCTCTTAGAACGACAGTTATAGTGACACTCTGTTGTTGCAGTTGTTTAGTATAAGAAAACCACGCGTTCCTATCAAAGCATGTAAAATTAGTGAACACACTGTATATGCAGAGCTTAATATATACTCTCTTGCATTCTGAACTCATTAAAAAACTATCAATGACTTCATTAAACAAAAAATTCAAAGCAACAATGGCTTCAGAGCGAATAACTCTGGAAGCCTGAAATGTAGCAAAGAAATAAAGGATAGTGATAAAGCATGTGGCTTTATCTAAATACAAACAGTTCCTTTGACACCAGGCAAAGGCATTAGGGAAAGATACTGGGGTCAGTAAGTGGTGGACGGCATGGCAGGTTGTTTGCCTGGCCTTCACTGCTGACCTAAGGGAGCATCTCAGGACCAACAGGAACCATCCAACACAGGTATGTGTAAACCTCCCATCCCAGCAGGTGTGGGGCTGCCTCAAATGACCCGAGTGCAAACCAGGCCTTTCCATTTCTACGATGCAAAGTAAGTCCATCTGGCCACTAGATGGAGATCAGGTCACTCTGCCAGGGAGAAGGGAAGCAGCTGGCAGTCAGCAGGTGGGAAGTATGGGAGGGAGAGCCTCGTCTTTTCTTAGTACTGCTAATCACGCTCCAAAATCCAGAGCCAGACCTATGTTGAATCAAGCATCCATAAACGAGGAACAGCTTGAAGGACTGAACAGGAAGCGAACTGTCAAAGACAAATTTTTGCTTGCTATTACCACTGACCTGGAATAATTCCTATTTCGATTTGGTTGTATAAACTACTCGTAAATAACAACAGGAACTGGTCTAAACAAGAGCGATTAATTGTGCTGTTTCATTATTTACCAAGCAGTGAGAAGGAAGAGGAGAGAGAAGACAAAAAATTAAAACAATGGCAGGCTATTCAGGCAATGCAGCCTGTCTATTTAGACAAGATATGATCATGATTTCTCAGTTCGAATGTGTATGTTAAGTATACATTTTCAGTGTCAATTGAAATGGATCAGAGAATAGCAGAGATGCAAGGAGAATGTTAGATAACATATATTCTAATTTTCCAAATGGAACTATTATTTTCTTCTGAATTATGTAACTTTATTAATGAATAAGTCTTATTTCTGTTAGAGCTGAACACTGAACTGGAGACATAAAGTTATACATTTTCTGGAACATGTTTGGTTTGGGGAAGGATTAGATATTTCACTACATAAAATAGTCAAATATTTTGTTTATTTTTGAGATGTTAGATACTATAATTCTGTTCATTTCTAACTTAATAATCATACAAATATTCATTCAACAAGTACTTATTCAGTTACATAAAAACAAATGAATAATTTGTGACAGCTTAAAAGAATTCCATTTGTTATCAAAATACCGGAAGGACTCGTGTGAATTACTACATATGAATGCGAGCATAAACAAACCTACTACATAATAATTGTGTATCAATTATTATGCTAGGAGCTGGGAATACAAAGACGCAACCGCGTCAGGGGAGGGGAGATGCTGGGGATGAGAACAGCTACTGGCTAAAACACAAACAGGTTAATTTTTGCAGCAATGAAGACCAGTTACCAAAAGCATGAGTAAAAGTCCTTTTTAAAGTTCTGCTGTAAAAGAATAACTTAATAGGCCACATATCCTGACCACAGGAAAAATGTGACCTTTGATATCTGTAACACATGAGAAATTAAGATAAAATAGAAATTAAATAAAATATAATAGCATTTATAAATCCGATAGTATTTACTATCAGGCATCAATCACTATAATGAAAATAGGAGCTTAATTAAAAGGGAGAAGAAAGTAATGTTTAGAATAATAAAAGAAACAGAACCATAGTTAATTAATTTTCTAATTATTGTTATGGATAGTGACCACCGTTCAGTCTGTTGCTGCGATAAACCCACTGCACTTAATGACATGTTTATTTTAGAGCTATACATTTGTTTCAGCTTAATTAAATTAACATATTCATACCATTTCAAAAGGATTTCAGGTTGCTTGCCTACATGGGTTTGTGACTTTCAAAATGTTCCTACAAGCTTTTAAGAATCTGAGAGAAATATGTATGATTCATTCACAAATATATATATATATATATATATATATATATATATATATATATATATATATATATATATATATATTTCTCCTTTAAGGAAATCACAACAATAGCCACATAAAATAGTAATTATTAATCGGGTATCAATGGGATAGTTGGTGGAAATTTCTTATCTGGTTAATTGGCTCTTTGCAGAGCAGCACAGCTGGCAGAAACCAACCTCTCTTTTTGCTGGATAAAAATGAAATGTAAACAGGGAAGTTTTCTTCTAAAGATTAAAATAAATAATTACAAATAAATCCTTTTATGACACGCGTTAGTATTTATGGGTACACAGCCTTCCTCATTGTTCACATTAGTTCCAGACAACAGCTCGACGAAGCGGGGATGGAGCCATTTCTGGAAATGGGGAGTGTTCTCTCCCTTGGGTGACCTGTCCCCATCTTCTTTCCAGGGCAGGGCTGGCTCTGCTTATTCTGACTGCTAAACTAGTATTATCTGGAAATGAGGGAGTTGGTCAAAACACATTTCCATGGGATGCATAACTTTGCTTATCTTCTCTTGTCCAATGGCTGTGGCCTTATAATAATGTGCCGCGTGTTACAATAGATCCTCGGTATTCCTATTTCCTGAGTAGCAGGTAGAGATGCTGACGATGGTGGTAAAAGTGAGAACAGAGGCACAGGCAGTGCTGGGAGCTGATTAATGCTTAAGGTTAAAAAGTGAAAGTTTGGTTGTATTCGCATGTTGTGATGTGAGAGGAGCTTGTGTATTTAAGCACTGACAGGGAAAAAAGAGCACATTTTTACTTTGTCACTATCTAGATGGATAAGATTTGTCTTTTTTCTGAGTCCAAAATTTATTTTAGCCACTTAAGCAACTGTATTTCGGGGTTGAGTTAGACATGTTCACGACGGTGGCATTTGGAATGAAATTTATATCTGAACGTGCAACCTTTAGAGATCAATTCAAGAGGTACCTGCACGTGTCTGTCGTCTTGTCCAATCATGTTTCTCCACTCCGTGAGTGAGCGTTGCAGATGTTCAAGTCCGGTTTCCCAGAGCCTGATGCGACCTCCCATATCGACAGTGACAACACCACCTTTGCCCCATTCGGCTAGCAGGGCATCTGTGTCTGAGATAGTGGACAGCCATGTGGTGTATGGGGACAGAGATTCTGATCTGAAAAAGAAATCACAGTATATAACGAATTGGCAGTCCAGGTAATAAAGCAACTTGAATCTGACTCACGTTCATTACACCTGCCTTATGGAATTCCAATAGGAAGCACATTACAAGATAAGATACCCATTTTCTCCTAATAATAGATTTTAGTGGCTATGCTTATGGGATAGATTAAAATTGCCATGATCTGAAGAGGGAGGATCTATTTGCGCCCTCCTCCTATATGAAATGGCTGAACAGAAAATTGGATTTTGTATGAAATGTTTGAATGACAATAAACTTATCTAGACTCAAAGAAAAAAAAAAAGGATAAGATGCCAACATATCCATCTGTAAGGAAAAAAATACATACCTATTTATTGGTTATTTACATTTTCCTGCATTTGTGGACCCCAGGTGACATCAGTATTCATAGTGGGAAAGAAAGAAACTCTAGACCAAATCAGACGTCACAAATGTGCCGCGCTGGGCTCTTTCTAGGGTCTGAGGTCAGCAACGAAACTGGTGTTCTGTTTATGTGTTTCATTTGTATTTGATAGTTTGCCTTTTCTAACTTAGACAGTTACATAGATTTATCATAAGGAACTTACGTATTTCTTGTATTATATATTTCATACATATACATATTTCCTTTATTTTATATTTCTGATACCTGTATAGTCATTTCTAGGAACGCAACTTTTGCCTAGAAGGATCGATTGCATACATATTTCCTTTATCTGAATATAGCTCTTACTATAGAAAAAAACATAGAAGAAATTCTAACTGCCAGTGTTGGCTCTCTGAATACACCTGATATTTTCTATATGAACTAAATGGTCTAAAGGGATGGTCTGATCAGATAATAAAAACATTAACCATCAGTGTTGATCTGGTAAAACCACAAAACCACTATGTATGAGGTAGATTCTCACAACATACTAAAATTAAACCAAGGCTATTCTGACCTTTTTCTTTTTCAGCCTGCATTAGTAGATATTAAAACACAGTGTAACAAAGCCAGGTCCTCTGGAACACAGAAGCCTGCAAAAATGTATATATGAAGAGGATGACAACAGTAGGATGGGATCCAGTGTTTCAGAACGAGTTTGCAGTACTAGAAGGACTTAAAGAAGGTAACATTTGCTATAATACAGGGTTTATCTCATGGTGCTCTGCCGAAAATTAGTAGGTAAAGATGGTGAAGTAAAGGGCTATTTAAGAATAATGAAATGTATCCACATGAAAGTGTGATGTCTGAAATTCTTCCAGTAGCACTCGAGATGTCTGTGTCTACTGAGTGCCGTATCTACTGGCTGCACATTTAACTTTCCACCATGAAACGTTAAATGTAAAGGGCAATTTCTTCACTATGTCAAAAAAAAAAAAAAGGACTGAAGAAAGCATATTTTTACTACAATTTGTACAACAGATCTAGAATCTCTTCTCTACTTTTTAAAAAGTACATGTTCCCCTTATACATAATAACAAGGTCTTTAGGAACATATAAAATTATAGCAGAGTAAAACCTAGATTTATATATGCCCACATCCAAGAGCTAGGCAGTATCATTTTATAAATGGAAAAAAATACAAATCTTTGAGAGAAAATACTCAAATTTTACTGAGGGCAAACATGATGTATTCATTTTAGTCCTGCAGTTACATATACTTTTATTGAATTCTCTACTATTTGAAGTTAGCCACCAAATGGAAAATTCCCGATCTCCAGCACAATGATAAATTTAAGCACCTAGCAACAAAACTGAAATCCAGATGGGCTGTTCCCTTGGATTACATACATGGCAAAATATGACAATAGTTAATCTCAAGAGAAACTCAGGCTATACTGACAATAAACAGACTCTAAATCACGTGGTGAGTCCACTTCAAATGTGGTAAGTCCAAACTGAGATGCTCTGTAAGTGTAAAATACACACTAGATTCCAAAGAGTTAGGAGAAAGAAGGAACGTAAATTATCTCATTAAAATTCTGACATTGAATGCATTCGAAATGGTAATATTTGAGATACACTGGGTTAAGTAAAACACCATTAAAGCTAGCTTCACTTGTTTCTTTTTACTTTTTTAATGTGCTTGCTAAGGAATACAAAGTGACGCATATGGCTCACATTATATTAATATTTTTATTGGACAGCGCAGCTCTACATGAATCATGAGTGGGCACTGGTTACAGATACAGTTGTTCTTCCTACGGCAGGTATAACACTCGGTTCATGCAGAAAGTTAAAAGAGAAAAACACTGAAACAAAAATCTAGGGCTAATGAGGGGGAAATAAAGAGAAATGATGAAAACATTATTTAATGCTTTAGAAAAAAATAAATGTAAAAATCAAAAAGTTTTTCTTAGCTTTTGGTACTTGAACTAATAGTATGTTTTAATGAGCATACAATTAATATGGAATAAGGACTTTCCCCAAATGATTAAAAGACATTTTTCATTAAACTGACCCAAGAAGGCATACTTAACTTATGTTGGAACAAGTAAATCTATTTCTTTGAATATGCTTTCACTATTCGTACTTCCTAAACCTGACTCAAGGGTCCTCAGAAATGAAACTGTGTTTCTGGGTTATTTTGAACTGTCATGCTGAGCTATGTTCTCCTGGGTGATGGAGGAGTGGGTAAAAAGGCAGTCTGGTGGGGTTTTGGGTGACTGACAGGTTCCCGTGTCCCTGGCCTTCTGCTGACATTGGAAGGCTCTCCAGGCCCCTCTGCTCAGGATCCCTGGTGTCGTGAGGGCTCAGCTGTCTGTGAAGGAGAGAATGTGAGGAGGGGACGTGAGGCCAAAGCAGGTATGAGCTCAGGCTGAGGCAGGGAGATCAGGCCTGGATGCACGAGGGGCAGGAGCACACGTGTGTTCACCAGGCAGAGACTGAGCATCGGGGCTTCTCCTTCTCTATCCTCAGACTAGTCTAACTGGCGTGCAGGCTTAGCTTCCACCGCTGGGCAGTAATAAAAGCAGTGAATGGCAATGAGTTCTGGAATCCTCTGACTACTGTGTGGCCTTTACGATTGTAGATGCAGAGTGACACATTTAAAAACAATATTAAACAAATGCCATCTAAGTGACTTCAACATTTTGAACACATTTACCTCAGAAGACTACTCTATGAAGTTAATAAGCATAAACATTTCTGAAACACTAAAAATGCTGTCTCAGATACAGAAAACTCTATTAATTAGGACAGAACAACAAAAGAGAAATGACGACTCGGGGGCTGATAGATTCATAGCTTCGTAACATTTGAACATTTCTCCAGCATGAAAATAAAAATGGCGGTAAGACATGCAGAGAACAGCGACACATAAACCAACTATAAATGAAGAAAAAAAGGGCTTGCTATTTAAGGAAGCCAAAAGCACACATTTATTCAGAGTACTTGGTAAAAATTCACTCAGTTTTTTATCTGACATACACGGTAAGAACAAAGTGGAAATGGGTTACCTGGGAATAGGGATATATCGGAGTTTCTTTGATTGAAGATCAGTGACTTCAATATAACCAGCTGTGTATGGAGGAGTAACATCTGCAAATAAGCCATGATATGAGCCAAGTATTAAATTACCACAGGATACCAAAGTAGGACCAAAAGAAAGCATGAATGTGTGGCTAAAAGTGGAAGGAAGTTGTCAGTAGCCTGCGGCAGGCCCACTTGACAAAGTCCTGAGCCAAGTCCAGCGTCAAGGCCAGACTCTCATGACTTATGCTTTGGTCAGGGAAATACAAAGCTTGTCAAATAGATGCGTATCAGGCCATGTTCCTTTACTGTCAGAAAATCCCCTAAGTTTTTTCCATTGTCTTTGATAGCTTCCCAAGATGGCTCAATGTTTTAGCACTTTCAATTGAAATGTTTCATCATCTGAATTCTATTTTCCTTCTTAGGAAGTCACAACAACTAGAGTATATAATATGGTGGAATCAGCACCCACTTTGTAATCAGACTGACCTGCTGTGAAATCCTGGCTCTGACATTTCCTAATTGTGTTTTTCTTTTCTTTTTCTTAGTTTCAGGTGTACAACACAATATAATAGTTAGACATTTACACCCCTCACAAAGTGATAACCACCCCTCCCCCCCCGGCAATCTACCACTCCTCTGACATCGTATATAGCTGTTACAATTCCATTGACTCTGTTCCCTATGCTTAATTGTGTGTGTTATGTGGGTCAAGTTAGTTACCACTCTGAGACCTGCTTTTGTCATTGGCACAATGGGGATACAAGCAGCATATGAACATCACAAACATTCTGAGGACTGGATGAATTTAGTAAATACAAAGCACCTCATTAGTAGCTGCCCAGCATATAGCTGCAGTTATTATTAGGGCCCTAGAATACAGGAAAAGATGAGGTGAGGATGGGGCAGTGGGGCAAGGGCTCCGGGTCATGAAGAAAATGAAAAAATGGGGAAGGACACAGTTTGACACCAGCCCTGAAGTTGTTTTCCAGCAAATTCCAGGGGCTGACTGACTTGTTTCCCACAGCTCTGAGTACCACCATCACCCTCATCATCACTAGCCGCCACCACTGTGTGTCAGTAACTCTGCTTAGTCTTTACAAGTAGTCTTTTTAATACTGATAACAACAAACACTTCAAATTCCTGTTTGAGAGCTGAGGAGGTTTGGGCTTACAGAAGTCATATGATACTGGGGTCTGCTTGAGGCAACACAGCTCTAGAGTAATGAAGACCGCCTTCAAACGCGGTCTTTCTGGCTCTGAATCCTGTGTTCTGTCTACCACTCCCACAGCTCCTACTGGCCCTGGCCCTAGGGCAACAACTAGTCTTCAAATAGCTCCATTTTACAAAATCTGAGCCACTGCTTTTTCTTTAAAAAACCAAACAAAAACCAAACAAAAATAACTTTCCCTACACAGAACCCATATTTTCAAAGATTTTTCCCTATCTATCTATCTATCTATCTATCTATCTATCTATCTATCTAGGTATCTATTATCTATCTATTATCTATCTACCTATGCATCCATCCATCTCTTCTTCCGACTTAAGATTTGAATGAGACATCCAAAATGTTGACAGTGAATTTATCAAATGTGGTTTACAAAGAATAAGAAACTTGGCATTTTTATTTCATGTTTGCAGTTGAAGATTTTTGAGCAGGCCACCTCAAAAACTAAAATATCTCTTATTTATGCAACAAGCGTGGTTGAGCTTACTTTGTAACAAAGCACTGGGGACAGAAAGGAAAGTGATGAGGAGCCCACAGCATAAAGAGGAAAGTTCTTTAAAAACAAAACAAAACATTGCAGGCCCTTGGGGACTTGGAAAGAATTCCAGGGTGGGAGTCCCAGGCCTGGCGCCAGGTATGAGCTGCAGAGCTGGGCAAGGAGTGGTCCTGGGGGCAAAGGAGTCAGCAGAAGGGCAGGTAATGTGCAGGGATAGCAGAGGTAAGAAGAGACAGTTACTATGGTAATCTGACTACCGAGCAGGACTGGCTGTCCCCAGATGGCTGTGTGTACAAAGGAACACACTCATCCTAAGTCATGCACTTGTCTGCATTGCAAATGATGCCTGGGATAGAAGGTCAATCTCGGATAAAGTTTTGCACCATATATCATTTTTGACAGTTCCTGCTGCTAAGACCTAGCTGAAGTCGATTGAGTTATTTATAGATCCAGGCTCTCTGCCAAAAATGACCAGTTTAAAGCGGCTGGGATAGCTCGAGCTGCTTAGCTCTTTGGCTTGCCACTCACAGGCACCGTCTTTGGAAGCAGTAGTATTAAGTCGAGCTATTGCCATTAGCGTTTTCAGATGGCCTGTGAAAGCAAAGTAAGACAACTTACTTTAAAATGTCTTTTTCCTACATTTTCCTTTTCTTTCCCTGTGCAAATTAATCCCATGGCATAAAGAGGGTGAGAAATTCAATAATGGTTGTTTCTATTTCAAGAAGGAGAAAAGAAAGCAAGAATTTTACTCCTGGTGCTAAAATATATTTTCATGTATTAGAAAAGGCAGTTTGTGGGTATAAAGTACTTAAAAAAAACAACAACCAAGGGTGGAGGTTATGGTAAGTACTCGAAAAATAATCAGAATTGATGTTTACTGATTTGAAAATAAATCTGTTCAGAGTACATGATTGAATTAGGGAAGTGAAAACGTGGCCAGATTTCCCTCTAAACGTAGCCAAATCCCTGTCTCTCCATTTTAAACATTTCAGCACTGTAGAGAGGCTGGAAGCTCGGGAAATTTCCATTACATTTATAGTCCAGGTGGATGTAAAAGACAGGTATAAACGATACTTTGGGATTAGTTCCCTAACGATGAAAGGGAAGTCACTTCTGCAGTGTTTACTGCATAGTCCCATGACAGTGGGGACAGCTTACATGCACTGTGCAAGGTTAGGAGGAGGTATAAAACCAGAAGGAAAAACAACCAAGAACGCTGTCAGAGGGAAGATGAAATTACATTAAAAACTGCACTCCTTCGAGCAATGTAACATGATGCACATCTGTTATCTGCTGGTTAATGCACCTCGGTGATCACAGATGAAAAGTGATGTGTGCCCCGCCAGCACACTATACCAAATCTCTGAATTTACTAAAAGTTCAAAAAACCAGTGTGCTGCTTTCAATCAAGAGTCATGATATTGTGTTTAAAGAGCTGAGGCCTGTGACCAAAAAAAAAAAAAAGCTAACATTTAACTAGCAGAAAAACGACTGGAAGAAAGCCATCCATCTTACCCAGTCCGCATTAAACAAAAGTCACACCATTGTTAAGCCACCTGGAGAGTGGTCGTTACAGTTTCTGTTGATTTCTTTAGTAAAAGGCTGATATGCATTAGTTCCTGGCTAATCAAATGGCTGGGTTCCAACTACTTTAAAAAACGGAATTTTCACCAGAGATCTACCCACACGTACATGAAAGCGTCACACAGGCTGAAAGAAAAACCAGCCAGCCCCCGCTTTACTCCCCTCACCCCTCTTTCCTGCTCCCACAGACACTTTCAACTTTTTACAGTTTCTTTGGTATATCCCTTCATCCTTATGCTGTCTTGATGTTTCAGTTTCAGGCATTATTTATTGACCTCCCACCAGCTAAGACGAGAGAGAGTTTAACTCTTTTCCATACGCCCTTCTCCCTGCCGATCACGTCATTGTCCAGCCCCCAAAACATTTCTATGATAATTTCGGTTAGATTAACATCCAGTGCTTATATTATCATGATTACATAAACACACACGGCTGAGCTATATCTTATAGTAGTATCGCTTTTTCTTTCCTGTACAACTTTTTCTTTTCATGAAGTTAATTATCATGTTTCATTATTGGTTTAATTTTTTACATACTTGGCACAAATTCATCTTCAAAGTGTTTCCTAATTGTCAAAATCTCTAAGTACGTTCAAATATATCGGATTTATCAATTTCACTTCCTTAGAGGCATCTCTCCTGAAATCTTCTGATATTTTCTAACCTGAATTGGTTGATTCTCCAGGCCTGTGCACAGCTATCATCCAAGGATCTCCCACCATTCTCCTAGAGATTTGTTGTTTTTTACAGCCCACGTTTGTGAAATTCTTCCTATGTGCCAGACACGATCCTAAGCATTTTATTTACATTTCGAATATTTAAACAACACTACTTAAACAAATGACGGGAAATAAAACTCCTACCAACCAGGAACAAATTGCAAAAGATATAAACAGGTAATTCCCAGAAGAGTAAATTACAACATATAAAAAGAGCCTCAAGGGCCGGCCGAGTGGCTCAGTTGGTTAAGAGCTCGCTCAAGAGTTTGAGCTCTGAGCAACAGCGGTTCGATTTCCGGCCCGAGCTGAGCAGCTGCTGAGCTGCCAACAGGTGGCAGGATGGCTCAGCTTTAAAAAAAAAAAAAAAAAGGCTCAAATTTACTAGAAATCAGTGAAAGCTAATATAAAACTACAACAAAAAAACTTCTACACGAGTGGAAGGCCTCTTTAATGATGCTGGATTAATGACTTTGGGACACAGTCCAGTAATGTCACTCTTAGATATATACCCTACAGACTCTCAACATACACACAGGAAGAAAGGTACAGAAATATTCATAGCCCGCTATCTGTAACAGCAAACAAATTGGAAAGAACCTAAATGTCCACCAATAAAGACCAGGTGAGTAACGATTGGTGGCACAGCAGTGAGGAAAATAAAGTAGAGCTATCAGTACGGGTGATGACCGAGTCTCCTCTTGACCAAACTCTGCTTAGGCCCTCCTGAATCCTCTTCCCAAGTAGACCCCGACTACTGGGCTTCCATGTTTATCTCTGCCTTGTCCCATTTGAGCAAGCATAATGCTGACTCAGCACACCCCACATCCCCTCCCCTCACCGTCTGACTGGGTTCCTGACTCTCCACCATCCCCAGGTGATACTGCTCACCCCCGCCTGCCTTCAGAAGAATCCTGTTAGTTGATTTACTCAGAATTTCCCCTCACCCTTGGTGTCCTCTTAGAAATTTTCTATCTGCTGATCTCCACCAACAAAGTTGAAGGATCTATACTACCTGATTTTAAGACTTAACCATAAGGTAAAGAACTGGAAAGTAATTAAGACAGTGTGGTATTCGTGAAGAGACAGACATACAGATCAATGGAACAGAACAGTAAATCCCAAAACAGCCCCACACATAGGCCGTCAGCTGGTTTTCAGGAGAGGTCCCAATAATTCCACGGAGAAACGAGTCTTGTTAGCAAATGGTGCTGGAACAATTGAATACCCTCCTGTACGACAATGAGCCTCACCCCACACCGTGCACCACATACAAATTTACTCAACATGGAGCATACATCTAAATGTAAAACCTAGAAACATAAAATTCTCAAAAGAAAACATAGATTTGCCCTGTCGACATGGGAAAAAATATTTGGAATGCATGTATCTGATACTGGACCTGTATCTAGAATATATAAAGAACACTTGAAACTCATTAAAAAGAAAGCAAATAACTCAATTAAAAAAAAACGGGCAAGGTCCGGCCGAGTGGCGCGATGGTTAAGAACTGGCTTGGGA